TACATGATGTTTGTGCATAGCAAGCAATTCCCCGACAGGTCTATTCTAAGAATCTACATGTACACAGTGTTTGCTAATCAAGATTAAACTGTTGCCAATGACTGCAGCATAGAGTTTATTGCAATGCACTCTACGTCTAAGCAGTGCCAGCTTCAGTTCTTGCGGACAGCTTGCAACTAAACAGTCACTTTCACTAATGAATCTGGCAACAATACACTCAGCGACCAATAGCTTCTATTTTATTGCTTGACACAGAACCAAGAGTAACTTTGAACGCATTATAGATATAACTGTTAAAATGCTTTTATGAATACCTAACCAAGGATACCTGAAAGATAGGCCAGACAGCTAGCAAAGCATCATGGTAAATGCAGTTCTACCGCAACTGGGTAACCTACTCTTTGGCTACTGCTGAGCTAGATCGTCAGCTCTTCTGAACAATTAGCTGACGTGTTTCCTATATCTGAAGAATTTCACTTATCTTTTTAAATTTGTACATTCCGCAAAGGGTACATAAATAAAAATGCTTACTGGTGCAGGTGATTTATTTATAAAGTCCATCCTGCGCGCTGATTTTTCAGTGATGGAAAGTAATGCATGTTTTTAATGCCACGAGAAGCAATACGCTGTACAGATTAGTGAGACATTTCTAGGCTGGCAAGACACTTGGTTTAATAGTGGATTGGCAAACCACTGTGCTCCGTGCTGTAATGGTGGGACGTTCAGCAATGTTCTCTGTGTACTAGGTTTTGATGTAATTTAGTTCAGAGGGATTTAGGATAAGGCTTGATGGGACTTAGTTTGAGGTGGTAACTTCCTTGATGGTGATATAGACTGTAACTCCTATCACTCTCGTCCAGGCAGTGAATTAAGAGACTTTTAGTCCATTGTGACAATACACTCTAAACCCAAGACCTTTTAGCTATAAATCTCCCCAAACCTTAAAGGGGCACTATAATCACCAGAACAACTATAGCTTAGTGTAGTGGTTCTGGTGTCTATAGCCTGTCCCTGCCACAGACTTTGTAACGTAAACACTGCTTTTTCAGAGAAAAGAAAGGAAAGGCAGTCACTCAGACAGCCACTAGAGGTGCTTACTAGTCCAGTGCTGCACAGTGTGAAGCAGTAGCGGGATGTGCTGAATGTTCCCGCATAGAGATGCATTGATTCAATGCATCTTAATGAGGATATGCTGATTTGTTCACAGTTGCGTCCTGTCGCGCATGCACAATAGCTTCCCAATCTTTTCTCATAGGTGATGATAGCTTTCCCAAGATGATAATGATCTGAGCCATGGAGAGACAGGCGTGGGAAAAAAGTTGAGTAAATTCAACCTTTCAAGGCGCCTATGCAGCCACACTAGCCCACACCAGCACAATACTGTCAGGAATACATGTTGGTATTCCTGACACTACAGTGTTCCTTTAAGTCTCCATTAACCAAAACAATTCCTAAACTTAAACCTCCCTACCAAGCACTGTAAACCTCACTACTAAACTTACTCTAGAATTGTAGGTAGAAATAACACTGTTAAAGTAACACTATAGCGTTAGGAATACAAACCTGTTTTGCCAACGCTATACTGTGTACCATTTACAGATTCGTTTTAGGTTTCATTCCTCCCTCCCTTTTCAGTAAAACCCTGAAAACAGTAGGATTTTATTTACCTTTGTTGCAGTGTTGAGACTTACTTGACACTGCAGGCCACATTCAATGCTTTCCTGTGAGCTGTAACTAGCATCAGGAAGACAGCCACTAAAGGTGTGTTTAACCCTACAAAACTGCAGTGTTTTACATTGCAGAGTTAACGGAAAGGGCCACGGAACCCAAACCACTTCAATGAGGGTGTTCTTTGTCTCCGTTAATGGCAGTGTAATGTCTCTGCAGGGCTGGTGCAAGGATTTATGCTGCCTTAGGCAAAATAAAAATTCCCCCCCATGTGACATCACACCCACCCATATGATCTGCCATATAAACTTACGCCAGTGCTGCACACAGTGTCTGTTCACATTAAAAAACCTGCAGGGACAGGCTATAGACACCAAAACTACTACTTAAAGCTGCAGTGGTTCTGGGGACTATAGTGTCCCTTTAATGCGAGGTAAATTAGAGATTAGTGTCACTAATAATATACTAGATTGCCTACTTACAACCAGATGAGGATGGTGATGGGCTCTGGCTGCAGTCTGGCTCCACTGGTCTGGTGTAGAACAGGATCTCTGGAGGCTGTTTGTAACTGTGGTCACAAAATTCAATGTTCTGGTAGAACGGGAAGCAGCTCCATTTTTTGGGGCTCCTTGCACAGCTCAAGGTCTGGGCCCCCAGGGCCTGACGGTGAGTATGCCCACAAAGCCCACCCATAAGTCCACCTACATGTTCCACCCATGAGTTCGCTCACAGGGAGTGGAGTGTGTAGGGGTGTGTTATGTGTAATTGTAGAGGATCTAAAGTGTGTGCTTATGGAATGTAGTGTACAGGTATATCAGTTTGTGTAGGTGATGCAGTGTGTTTTTGTGTAAGGGGTAGAAAGCAGTGTGTGTTTGTGTGTAAGGGATGTATTGTGTGTTTTTGGATGTGTGTAAGGGATGTGTTTGTATGTGTAAGGGATGCAAGGTGTGTTTCTGTGTATGTAAGGGGTGCATTGAGTGTGTGTAAGAGATGCATTGTGTTTCAGTGTGTGTTTCTGTGTGTGTAAGGGATGCATTGTGTGTTTCTGTGTATGTGTGCAAGGGGTGCATTGTCTTTGTGTATAAGGGTTTCATTGTGTGTGTGTGTGTGTGTGTGTAATGGATGAATGGTGTGTTTCTATTTGTGTAAGGGAAGCATGGTGTGTTTCTATGTGTGTAGGGATGCATTGAATGTTTCTGTGTATGTATAGGGGTGCATTGTGTGTGTGTGTGTGTAGTGTGAAATAGAGAGTTTGTGGGGTAGGATAGGGGCTGAGTCCTACCAGCCCCTTTGTGCTTCTCTTTTCCTCCTTCCTCAGCCTCTCTCCCCTCTTGTCACTTAGAGCTCTCCCTTCCTGTCCCTTATTGCTCTCCCCTGCCCCACTGTCCCTGCCCCCAATCTCTTAGAGCTTTCTCCTGTCCCTTAGAGCTCTCCCCTTCCATCCCTTAGAGCTCTTCCCTGTCTGTTATTGGTCTCTTCTCCCTCACCCCGTCTCTCATGCCCTCCCCCCCCAGTGATCTCCCTGTACCCTTTCCTTTAGTGCTCTCTCCTCCCATCCCTCAGAGCTCTCTCCAACCCCCCCGTCCCTTAGTGCTCTCCCTGTCCCTTAGTGCTCTCTCCTACCCCCGTCCCTTAGAGCTCTCCCCTGCCACCTGTCCTTTAGATTTCTCCCTTCCGTCCCTTAGAGCTCACCCCAGCCCCTTAGTTTTACTCCTCCCCTGTCCCTTAGTGGTTTCTCCTCTTCTCCCCCCTTTCCATTAATGGTCTCTCCTCACCCTCCCTTCTCTAGTGGTCTCCCCTCTCCCCCATAGTGGTCTCTACTCCACCCCCTACCACCGTTAGTGGTCTCTCCTCACCCTCCCATAGTGGTTTCTCCTCCACCCCACTGCCACAGCCCCTATAGTTTTCTCTCCTCCACCCACCCACCTTCTTCCCATAGTGGTCTCTCTCCACCCCACCTACCTTAGTGGTCTCTCCTTGCCCCCACCCCCTCTCTAACTCCCCACCTGCATTAGTGGTCTGTCCTCCACCCCCACCTTCCTTAGTGGTCTCTCCTCACCTCCCCCATAGTGGTCTCTCTCCCCTCCCATATTGGGCTCTCCACCAGTCCCCCTCCCTCCCATAGTGGTTTCTCCTCCACCCCCCACCTCCCTTAGTGGTCCTTCCCCCCCACTCCCCAGTGGTCTCTCCTCAACCCCACCTGGTCTCACATTAAACCCCCCCACCTTCATGGTCTCCCCCCGTTCTACTCGGCCCGGGCAGAGCTGCAGCCACCTGAGGCTCTCTATAGAGCGCTCAGGCTGCTGAAGCATGAGTGGGGCCGGCGGTCCGGGGTGCCCTAGGCGACTGCCTAAGTTGCCTATAGGATGCGCCGGCCCTGTGTCTCTGTGTTTTATAGTCTATTGCCGGAACAGTGTTGAAATATAAATAGGATACTCGATGTACAAGAATAGTGGGAACCTCCAAAGCTGGCCATCCACTTCCTGTCAAACCATTTTCATGTGTTTTGACAAAAGCCATGACCCTCCCTGGCACCCAAAGCCCTTACCATATGGTGAGATAATGCAGTAGATACACTTCTGCCATATTCATCAAACGTCACCCAACCTGGGGTGTGCAGTGATCAGCTGTGAGCATTGAAATCAGGGCCGGATTAACATAGGGGCTGATGGAGCTGTAGCTCCAGGCCCAGGTCCATGGAATAGGCCCATTGATTTAAAAAAAAAAAAGTATTATTTTTAATTTTTATTTTTTACACACTACTCTTAGGGTTGCCGGGTATTTCTCATGTATTTCTTATGGTTGCCAGGTATTTCTCAGAAGTATTTCTCAGGTATTTAAGGCTGTCTAGCTGGTGCCGGTATTGCAGTAATACCGGCAATAGAAATGTCTATCTCAGTATAAACAGAGATTTTTCTGCAACACCAGCGCCGGCCAGTAGGTGTCGCTGTTTGTGTGGAGAGAGGCAGGGATAAGAAGTTACAGCATCTCCCTTCCTGCCTCTCTCTACTCACTGATCTGCAGGGGAGCAGCTCTGCACAGAGAGTCCAGACAGCAGCTCTGAGCCTGCGAGACATGGGGATGGTGAGAGATTTGGGGAGACAGACATTGGACACTGGGAGACAGTGGCCCCTAGCCTCTCAGTGTCCCCATGTCTCCCAGCCAGTGTCCCTAGTGTCTCGGTGTCCCCATGTCACCTAGTGCCCCTGATGTCTCTCAGTGTCCTCATGTGTCCCTGGTGTCTCTCAATGTCCCTAGTGTCTGTGTCCCTAGTCTCTCAGTGTCCCCATATCTCTCAGTGTCCCCTAGTGTCCTAGTGACATCGGGACACTGGGAGACACGGGGACACAGACTGTAAGCGACACTGGGAGACACGGGGATACAGACTCTAAGCGACACTGGGAGACATGGGGATACAAACACTAGGGGACACTGGGCTACATGGGGAAACTGAAACACTAGGGAACACTGAGAGACATGGGGACACTGGGGGACTTTCAGACCTGGGAGACATGGGGCACTCCCAGTGTCCCATATCTCCCAGTCAGTGTCCCTAGTATCTCAGTATCCCCATGTCTCCCAGTATCCTTGTTGTCTCTCAGTGTCCGTAGTGTTCCAGTGTCCGTAGTGTCTCAGTGTTTCCTAGTCTCCCAAAGTCCCCTAGTCTCCCAGTGTCTCAGTGTCCCAATGTCTCCCAGTGTCCCCATGTCTCCTAGTGTCTCAGTGTCCCCTAGTATAAAAGAAAAAATCTCAGGCACTCACTGTGATAGATTTAAGCAGGTTTATTGGACACTGCAACGTTTCGACCTGTACCCAGGTCTTTATCAAGTTTCCAGTGTCCCCTATGTATCACAGTGTCCCCATGTCTCCCAGTTTTCCCATGTCTCACAGTGCCCCAAAGTGTCTCAGTGTTCCCTAGTATAAAATAAAAAAAATCTTAGGCACTGACTGTGATAGATTTAAGCATTTTTTTTGGACACCGCAATGTTTTGACCTGTACCCAGGTCTTTATCAAGTCTCCAGTGTCCCTTATATATCACAGTGTCCCCTATGTATCACAGTGCCCCATGTCTCCCAGTGTCCCCTTGTGTCTCAAAGTCACCCAGTGTCCCCATGTCTCCCAGTTTCCCCAAGAGTCTCAGTCTCCCCAGGTCTCCCAGTGTTTCCTAGTATTTCAGTGTCCCTATATCTCCCAGTGTCCCAATGTCTCCTAGTGTCCTAGTGACATGGGGACACTGGGAGACATGGGGACACAGACACTAAGGGACTGGGAGACATGGGGACACAGACATGCCCCCTTTTTGTGTATGTTCCCTCCTTTTGGCAGTTCTGGTTATGTGATTTGTATCAGTGGCCCACCCTTTTACCCCGTCCATAGACTTCCTGCTTTACTGGACACTGCTGTTAGGGGCATGGGTTTACTTGAACGATGAAAGCGTGAGATTAGCATAGGGTATGTGTTTTCTCATAGTTGCATCCTATGAGTTTCTCTCCAGCACCATCTCCATCAGATACATGACGCTTAGGAGGTGGGACTGTTTTACTGTTTTTGGTCAATAACATTTTGTAATTAGGCCCATCATAATTATCAGCACCAGACCCACTGGGCTCTTAATCTGGCCCTGATTGAAATGGGTTAGCCTGGCAAGGTTACCAAGGGAGCCGGGCATAGCAGTTTGAGGGCAGACACGTTATAAAATAATAGGACTTTCCGCTTGGGATTATAGCAGCTCATTCTTAGATTAAATTAAAGACTTTTATGCCTTGGCCATACTTATAGATATTTTTTTATATACTCAAAAACTGTGCTTTTTATCTTATATGTCCGCTCTCTTCAAACTCCCTGAAGTTAACGAACTGAACCGCTTCGATAACAAAAGGGATTGTGCTAACTTGTTAAAAATAATTTGTAAAAGGATTTTATCTGCTTCCACTAACTGCATGCTAATTTAAAGGTCACAGAAACTTGTAACCATAGTGCTGACCTAAATCTAACCTCCTTCTTCCACCTGGAAATTGCCGCAGCCTAATGTTACAACTCAAAATATTCTTTTTTTTTTTTTAAATCCTTACCCAGGTCCAGCGCGTAGACTCGTCCCGGCCCCTTAAGCTACACTCATAAAATATAGCTCCCAGACAACATGCTCTGTATCTGGTGTAATAATCGAAATTGAACAAAATTGCCATGGCTGCATTAACTAACTCACTGCTGTATCATTCCCAAGACCTGGCTGATACATTGTTTTGTTTTAACAACCCCTTTATTAAAGGGCCACTGTAAGCACACAGACCATTGCAGCTCATTGTAGTAGTTATGGTGCTTTATATTTGTGGGCGCAAACCTGCCGCATTCTCTACCTTTCATTGCCGTCAGTAATACAGAAGTGTAATTTCCATATAGTCACAGAGTTGGGTTTTGTCCGCCTTTTTCAGCATGATTGGACAGAAAACGAAATAATAGCACCCATAGCACTATAATAAGCTGTAGTGGTGATAGTGCACGTAGTTCCCTTTTAAATGCTGCACTATTTTTATTGTTAGCAACCAAACCCAACGTTCTGTTTCATTTATTTTGCAGCTTTATTCTGCAGTTTGATTACAGGGCCTTTTACAAGATTGAAACCAGCTGTCCGTGGAATCCAAGTTTACTTACTCGTCGTCATCCTTGCCAGTTTTATAATCACTATTCTTTAAAATGGCTGCTTCCCCCTCTCTCCTGTACCCTTACACCTCATATGTTCTCCAGTTCAGCTCTAGAATTCTTTATTTTAACCTTTACAAAAAAGAAACGGGTTTAGCAGATTTACACAGAGATTAGCAACTATGGTTTGACCACCTACAAACATCATAGCTTCTGTCTGACTCCAAAAATCATTGATCATTGTAAAATCATTAATTGATCAAACCAACAATCTACAATAGCAGTAAAATAAATCAGGTTTTAACATATAACCACCATACTATTTCTATTCTTCATGGTTCGTTCTTGGATTCATGACCCAACTATTTTAAGAGGCAGTAATCCAGTGTCAGATTTGACGACACTTGTGTAATTATCTGGGTGCTGGCATAGATGGTAGTAAGGGAATTATGTATAGTTTCCTTTTTAGAGTATTTGTTTGCCAATACTAACAAAAAGTTGGCTAAGAGGGAGGATCATGGGAAATATAGTCCATAAACATCTCCAATGCCAAGTTAGCTTTCTCTTACTTAGGGTTAATAAGTGTGTGGGTCTAATTCTACAAATTGTGCTGCACTACTTTATTGAGGCACACTGGAGGAGTGTTAAATGAAATTAAAAAGATCATTAAAACTACAACTTATCGTATAATCACAGCGTAGTAAAGTTGTTATAGTACAGGGTTAAAGGGACACTATAGTCACCCAGACCACTTCAGCTCAATGAAGTAGTCTGGGTGCCAGGTCCCTCTAGGGTTAACCCTGCCTGCTGTAAACATAGCAGTTTCTGAGAAACTGCTATGTTTACATTTTAGGTTAAGCCAGCCTCTAGTGGCTGACTTCCGTCAGCCATTAGAGGCGCATCTGCGACGCTGGAGGCATTCCGCCCCGCTGACGTCAGACGGGGGAGCTGACGTCGGCGGGGGAGGAGAGGTAAGGGAGCCCGGCGGTGGAATAAGGTGAGTAACTGAAGGGGTTTTAACGGGAGGGGCACCCTCAGGGTACTATAGTGTCAGGAAAACCAATTTGTTTTCCTGACACTATAGTGATCATTTAATCTTTTTACATTTTTGTTTTCTAAAATTTATTTCCCTTGCCAATCTTTTTTTAGTGAATTAAAACAATTATATTTGAAATGATAAAGGTTCTTGAATTGAATGTCACAAACATTGATTGACTTTTGAGATAACACAATACACAGTTACATATTAATATAGTCTGAAAAAAGAAAGTCCATCAGATTCAGCCATTCACAAGTCTCTATTACTGCTGTTTATTCAAATCGAGGCGAAAATGCCAATATGAAGCATTTTCCAAATTTGCTACAAAATTAGGTTAAAAATATTTATAGAATCCAATATGGCAGTTTCTCTTTGGATCAGCAACTGTTACTCCACATATTAGCTGTTATATCCTTGAATATTGTTTTTCCAATAAGTACTCAAATGATGTTTAATAATCTGTACAGAATCTTATAAAACAACCTCTTCAGGCATAGAATTACACATCTTTATTGTTCTTACTGTATTGTACCCTTTCTATTGCCACAGGAGAAATCTCTTTCCTTCAAGTCTAAATTGTAATCTCTTGTCTTTTGAACAGACTTCATAGTCATCCCTCCTTTTAAATGTGAAAACTATATATTTTTTCCCCTCGCGTTTTGATTGAAATGATGCCCATTTAATGCCATCTATGCTAATTAATATTCTAATTGGAAACAGATATTGGCGTTCTTGAAACTTATTGCCAAATGTTGTGTTATGCACAAAAGTATTTTTTTGAGAAAAGCATCCCAATTTGTATCTGTATATATGTATGAAACATTGTCCTATGCACAATTTATCATTTGTTCATAACACCTGTTGTGCTAGAATACTAAATTCTTAGTGCATTCCATGCGACATACAAAATATACGTGTTTTTTTTTTCCCTGCTGTGCTCCCACATAACAGATTATGAAGTTAAACTGTATTGAAAACGTACTCTGAATTAATTAAGATGCGTGCTGCACACAAATACAATAGTTTTCGATCTCCAAATTGAATGCAAAACGCGCTATTTTTGTCGACTTGATGCCTTTACATTGAAGCCAGAACACAACCATTATCCATTAAAGTAGTACCAGGGATTAATCTCTGTGTAGAGTGTTTCTAATCAATTTTAGACCATCTGAAGATCTTTTACAATATTCCTAAAAGAGACTATCCCTCTGTTAAGAATGCTAAACAAAATTAGAAAAGGGAAAAAAATAAGCTTTTGAATAATGTTAAACAGAGGAGCTCTGAAATCCCTGTTCTTCGGGGGGAGCCTCAATAATGCCTTGTTAATGTGTTTCAGCTTCCCGGCAGCCAGGGGGTTAAGCAGAAATTGAGTGGGTACGCTCCAGGGCAGGAGCGCTGCAGAACATAGCAGTGTTCGTGAGAATGAAAGTCATTTCCCGAAAACACTGCAGACACAAGGCCCCAGGCAGTCTAAAACCTTTGGAGACCAAAATGGCTTGCAGGAATTACTAGTAATAAGGTATTTTTTTTTCCTCCCTTTCTTTCTCCTTGACTGAAATTCTGTAAGGTTTTAAATGTATTGCTAGAGAAACAATAGAACCATATATTTCTTTTTTGTTTCTTGCTTTATTCTGGTATTAAGATCCATTACCGACATTACATTTTCTGGATTTGCAAGAATGTAGCTGGATGTTAAATCCTTTGTTGTTTGTTTGGAATTGAATTATCTCATTGCCCCTTATTCTTCCCCCTCCCCCATGAACGCGAAGACCTAAGGTTCTCTCGTGGGATGGGGGTCTCTTGTAATAAAGAGGGGGTTGAGTTTTCCTGTTTGATGATGGCTGATTGCGCTTGATATGATGCGCGACCTTGCCGCCTCTAACCCTAGTTCTGCGGTAAAATGCACAGGTTAGCACCGTTCTTGACCTAGAGATTCACTTCCTGTTGTGTTGATCAGCATGAGATAACCCCCAGCTTCAGGTAATCCCCCTGCAGTGCACTCGCTGCTAGAAAATATTATAACGTTTATCATTCTATCTGTAAAATATCCCCAACATATCTATCTTGAAAAGAATAAAATATGGACGATATGGAAGGCGGTAGATTGATATAGGGTCAGCGTAAAGCTTCCCAATAGAATGCCGGTTACAGTGTG